TGCTAATCATGAATTATGTATTATTAAATAGAACCACTTTTTCTCTACTGAAGAATTATTTTAAATTTTTAATTCTAGAGATATCATATTTATCTCTAGTAAATATATTGTTGAGAATTCTGAGGAATTTGTGACTGCTGCATATGCCAGTATCATTGATTCTGAAAGACCTGAACGTGAATTTGACATAACTAGTATTCCTATATGCATTTTCCATTATATGATTTCTGCAAGTATCAATCGTACTCCAAGAAAACTGAAGAATTCATCTATTTTGAAGTGGAATATATAGAGTATAATTTAGTTACAGGATAAGCTAATATTGAAATAGAAATAACTGTTTTTATACTTACCAGTCTGTGAGATTCAAATATTTAGATGCATTAAGAATTAATATTAAAGCAGAAAATACTTACCTTATATCAGGCTTTATTAAATTTTCTGATTCTGGTAAAATAATGATCTAAGCTACAGATATTGATTATCAAAAATTTCAATTCATAACCTAAACGTGCTTGAAATTTTATCTGACAAACCAAAAGCCCGCTCTATTATCAATATTATTACAGATAATATTAGCATAGCTAGTATGCAAACATCTAGTAATCAACTTTCATCTAAAACTTTATTCACTTTTAACAATTCTGATATTAAAGAAGATTCAACATTTGAACAAAAAAATACTTTGGATTCAGATGCTAAGAATAATAATAAAGAGCAGCAAAGTGATCATGAAAAAGAAAATACAACAATTTCTGATGAATATACGAAGTCGATAGAAGATGATGAAGAACAAAATAACAAAGATCAGCCTAAAAAAGACAGCAAAGTAGTAGAACTATTAAGAAATAAAAGAAAAAATGTAGTAAAATAAATTTTTAAAAAAATAAAACAGCATACAATAGTACATATTTCATAAAATCAGTATCTAATAGTATCCACTATTATGTTACTTTTGGGTAATACAATAAAATATTAGTTAAATTAGATAAGTTGTTCTAAAATGTTCAATATGCATTATATTTTATTTTATAAAATATATTAATAACGAAAATATTAATTCCAATCTGAACCAGTTAAATACAAGTTTTTGTTTACATAATTTAATTAAATAAATAAATAAAATCAAGTATAAAGATAAATTGAATTGTTATTGCACATGTATACACATGCACCACATACTGTACATATAATTTAAAATAAGCAAGTTTTGTACATACCAGAATATAAATTATTATAGTTTTAGTACAATATATATAAAATCAAAGCAGCCAGTTAAAATCAAGATTTTGTGCATACCAGAATATAAATCATTATAGTTTTAGTACAATACATATAAAATTAGGGCATCCAATCAAAATTAAGAGTTTGCAAACGAATGCAAAACTTTGTATTTAACCATATATTTCGTATTTTGTACTACATTCCTGGTATAAGGTAGCTATGCGATGCTGTTGTGCTGAAATCAGGAACGTAGGTTCAACAATTTTTATAATTATATAAGAGTCGATGCAACCTATTTTTTGTCAAAATGTTATTCTATATCAGTGATAATATCACAATATCTATCAATCAAGCATATCAAGATTATGGATAGGTTCAGTCAGTTATGGTTGATCATTGGTCAGTCATTATCAGTTAATTGCTCATAGCCGATTGATTGTGATCGGTTATATAAAAAAATATCAGCACATCTATAATTTTTGTTAGAATTGCAGATCATTTGACCAGATTTAAAATTGGTTTGTTCTAATTCTGGTCAAATAATCTGCAAATTGACTAGACTTATAAGCTATAATTTATCTGATGATGCAGATCTTTCAATATGATTTCATAAGTTCAGCTATAATAAGAATAAAATAGCTGCGCAGCACGCGGTGCCGCGCAGGACCAGTACGATCGGTATCAGTAAAGTTATGCATATGCATGTAAGTACTCAGGTATATACAGGATTGAATTATGGTGACTAGAAGTAAACTGGGTTTTTTAAATACACAGCACTGTTATT